CCGCTCCCCAACCCCCTTGGGGATCCTGGGCATCCACAATCTCTGCTGCTACTATTATTATTTCAAGTTTTGGGGATGGAAAGGGGTGCTGTGCTGCTGCAGAGCGACACCCCCAGCCCTTTTGGTTTTTTGTTTTGAAACAGTCGCTAAGTTGCCCAAGCTGCCTTCAGACTTGTAACCCTCCTGCCTCTGCTTCCCTGAGTGCTGGGGTGACTGATGTGCCACCCTGTAACACTGGCTGCCCCAGACCCTGCGGGGATGTGAAACCGTATCTCTAGAGAAGGCTCTTCTCAGAGTCATGACCTCTACAACATTCTGCTTCTTGAAACCAGCTTGCCCTGGGGACTCAGATAAACTCTGAGCGGACTATCTATGGAGCTGACTGTGGGGGATCCCAGGGTTTTGGGGGCCGGAGAGGTCTGAGGGACCTCTCCAGGCTGGCAGGGAAGAGGACACGGGCTTGAGTCCCCCCCTTTCCCAGGGTACCTTGCTGCACTCCTGGTTCACACAGGGCCCAGGGTGGGGGCTCCCCAGGGGTGGTGATGCAAAGCCCTGAAAGTGAAGGAAAGGTAGCAGGAGGCAGGAGGGGTCGATCCGCAGCCAGCCCAGCTTGTGCAGAAGTCCGGGGCCTGGTGAGATCTTAAGCCTGCTCCAGGGAGCTGAAAATGCCCCGGTGCACCCTCACCCCATCCTGCATATTGGTGGGACCTCCAGTGACAGGATAAACAGAGGGTGCTGTGAGCACCCAGCGAGTCCTCCCTCCTCTGCCCCAGCCCACCGTAGCTCCCACCGGCCTGGTCCAAAGCCCGAGACCCCCGCAGCCTTTTCCCTCTCCGTCCCTTCCTACTTCCCCTGCTCCCTTTCCGTCCCTCCTCCCTCTGCTCCAGCTGCGCGGGTTCCTCCTTGCTCCTGCACCTCAAGGGGCTCTCTGCCACCCCAGGGCCTTTGCATGGCCCACACGCTCCTCCTGGCGTACTGTCAACTTTACTTCTTTTGCTTTTACATTTTTATGTTGAGGACATTAAGTTCCAGCAAGACAGCACCAACTGCCTGTCTGACAGCCACGTCCCCAGCACTGCGGCTGCACACAGTAGGTACCCAGCAAGGAAAACATGCATTTGTGCTACCCGGGTGGGCGGGCGCCTGCACTGGTGAGTCCTGACTGGCAGGTTCCGGCCCAGCCAGCAATAGAGACGTTAGGAGGAGTGGGCCTGTGACTCAGGTTGGCTCCCTCTGCCTTTAATTATTTTGTCGACAAGGCCCACAATTCACCAAGTCAAGGTGGCATTTGAGAGGGACGGTTCCCTTTAGCGTAGCTGACAGCTAATTTGTGGGAAGTTTAATTACAGGCGGCGTTAATTAACTGGCAGAGCTCTGGGCGCGGAAGGCGGCCATCTGTTCCCGGGAACGTCCTCCCCTTCTGGGCCTGGCAATGAGGCTGTGAGGGGCTGGAAGGAGGGGACAGGCTGTGGGGAGAGGCGGAGACAGGGAGGGGGACCTGGTGGTGGTCACAGCCTTGGCACCCTTGTCCTGACACCGTCAGGGTACGGGTCTTGGCAGCTGCTTCTCAGAGGCCTCCTCCAGTCGCCATGAAGCATCAGCTCCTGGGAATTTGCCTCCTGCTGGTTGTATCACTAGGAGAAGAGGGTGTGGGATAAAGGAGGGGAAGAATGCATTGTTCACCCATCCTCCATAGCCATGCTATGGAAGCAACAAACGGTCTTAGGATGGAGTTGAGCACTTGGGGTTCAAATCTTAGCCTTTTCCTTCCAAGCTGTGGGCCCCAGAGCAAGTTAACTAACTCTTTGGGCTTCCAGTTCTTGTCCAAAAAAAGAAAAATTGATTGCAACAGGACCTCCTTCCATTTACCCTCCTAGAACTTTGGGCACAGGTACCCTAAGTCCCTCATCTTCTGCACTCAGGGTCTTCGCATATGCTGTTCCCTGCACAGAAAACACTGTTCCAGCCTGCTCAGTGGGCTCCTGTCTCGACTTGGACTTTCTGGTTTGATTTAGATGTCTCCTCCAGCGGCAGTCTCCCGGGATGCTCACAGCAACTGCAGTCCTCACCAGAGCCTTGACCAGGAACCCCAGGCAGGCAGACTGCCCAGGATGATAGGTGGTCAGCGATGCACAGGTAAAGGCTGGAGCCACAGCCACCACACTGTCAGCTGGAGGCTGGGGTGGGGTTAGGTGCAAAGAGATGCCACAGAGGTTCATCACAGCTCAGTTCCTGATCCTTTGGGGCAGTGAACACCCTGCAGACGGGTGACATAGAAACTGGAGTCCATCCTCAGTGGGCTGCACATCCCCGCCAAAAGGGGGCGCTCTCCATATAGCCGAGCCTGTGCGTGGTTCTCAGTGACGTCACACGAGTGACAAATGCCAAGCTCAAGCTGGGTGTGGAGCTGCCCGCCTGTCCGCCCCCCATTCTAGAGGCTGAGGCAGGAGGATCGAGAGGCCCAGCACAGCCTGGGGAAGCAGGACTTAGTGAGATCTTGTTTCGAAATAGGAGAGCCCGACCCAGGGGCGCCACCCCATGTGGTATCCATGGCTACCCGAAGCTGCGGACTGCGCCGCTGGCTCTGTGGCAGAAGGCAAAGAAGTACAAAGAGAGGATTTTTGCTGTGCAACTAGTACTCCATGGAGTGACTTTTAATTTCTTTTCTTTTTAATTCAAACTCATCTCCATGCCCCAAAGCCCTCACTACCCTAGGCTGTTTCCCCGCTGGCTTCCTCCCTTTACCTTCCCACCATCTCCTGCTCCAGGCCCTTTGCACGTGCTTGGGCTGCTGTTGCTCTAAACACACACCCCTTCCTATTAGAGAGGCTTCCTGTGCCTCAATCTGCCCCCTCAGCAAAGCCCTCCCTGATCCTGTCAGACTGAATTTACACCTCTGACCCATACCCCACCACCCTGGTGAATTGGCTGCAGTACTGGCTACTGGTACTGGAGATGGAACCCAGGCCTTTGCACTGAGCTCCATCCCCACCCCTTTATTTTGAGACAGGGTCTCACTAAGTCCCTAAGTTGCCCAGGCTGGGCTAGAACTTTTGACCCTTCTGCCTCAGCCTCCCAGCATGCTAGGCTCACACCATGGCCAGCGCAGTGCAGAACGCATAGTAGGTGCTTCTTCAGTATAGGCCAGGGGGCAGCGACGGAAGAGGAAAGCACAGCAGCTCTGTGAACCTGGGCTGGAATTCGGGCTGGACCGGGCACAAGCCGAGAAACATCAGGCAACTTGCTCAACCTCTTTGTTCTTCCTGCACAAGGCAGGATAGCAAGCCTGCAGGGTTGTAAAGAGTTCTGAAGCAGCAGCACTGGCCCAGAATGCCATGAACCTGCAGGAAAAAGCCCGGGGGAGGGGGGGGAGTGCTCAAGTCCTGAGATGCCGGCCGCTTTCATCATGGCGCTGTGGACCCGTTTTGCTGCAGTGCCACGGTGCCCGGAAGCTGTGTGCCACTGGGCCTTGTACCTGCCGTGCACCTGGGCCTTTCCTCCGGCCTCTGCTGTCCTCACAAGCTCCTGCTGGTCCTTCTGGCCTTCCCTTTGCACTCCACTCGGCACATAGGAGTGGCAGGCAGGATGGGGTTTCCCTGGAGCAGCTGGAGTGGGCTGAGTGGAGGTGAGGAGCTGGGTATGCACTTATTTAACCATTCGGGGTGCGGGCGGGGCTGCCCAAGCCTTTCCACCACCTCTTCCTCCCACCACTTTTTCTCTTTCTGGTCAATGGCCACAAATCCCCATCCCGTCTGGAAGACCAGGCTTCTGGGAACCTTCCTGACCCAATCCTCTGGAATAGGTCAGGTAGCTCCCTGGGGTCAAGACAGCACTAAATCCTTTCACCACCACACTTCTGATCACCAACATTAAAACCAAGTTGTAGGGGGCCGGGGCTATGGCTCAGTAGAATAAGCGCTTGTCTGGCAAACACAAGAGCCTGAGTTCAATCCCCGGTTCTCAAAAAAAAAAAAAAAAAAAAAAAAAAAAAAAAAAGTTGTAGGCAGGTTACTTGGTCAACAAACCCCATGAGGCAGGAAGTGTAGTGTGACACACACACTTGGAAGCCCCTGTGGGTCTGGGCATGGTAGCTCCCATGTCTTCCCAGCTACCCATGAAGGTGAGACAGGAAGATTGCAAGTTCCGGGCCACCTTCTTTTTTTTTATGTATTTATTTTTATTTATTACATTTATTTATTGTGTGTGTGTGCGGCCAGCTCAGCCCACCAGGGGGCGGGGCTGGCTGGCATGTGGTGCTGGGGGATTGAACCGCGGTCCCTGTGCTTTGCCAAGCTTGTTTCAAGTAGGTGCTTTAGACCACTGAGCCATCTCTCCAGCCCAGCGGGCCACCTTCAAGACCCTGTCTCAACATAAAATGCAAATTAAAAGGGTTGGGGGTGCTCAGGGGTGAGTGGCTGGCTAACATGCTCTCCCCCACAAGGCCTTGATGGAGAAATGCAAATCGAGTCCTGAGCTGATACTGTAACATTTCCTACATTGGTTTCCTCTGTGATAAATGACCCCGGGGATATGGAAGATGGGAACTCCAGGAACAGATGCTCTCCAGGTAGTGTATGACTTACTTGGAAATCCACAAAAACCCCAAAGTCACGTGTTTTTTCTTCTTTCATTTCCTTTTTTTTTTTTAGACAGGGTCTCACTTTGTAGCCCAGGCTGGCCTGGAACTCAGCAGCCCTCCTGCCTCAGCCTCCTGAGTGCGGGGATGACAGGTGTGCATCTCTATGCCCTCTTTTAGAAGAAAATGTGTAAGGAATGACAAGCCAGCCCTGTCCCTGGAGGTACACAGACTGGGGACCTGTTGCAGAGCCACCCAGGACATACTGCAGCCCTTGGTGTCCAAAGGCTTGGTGTTCTCACTCACCCAGGGGTGAACTTGCCCGGAGTCCCACAGCAAGTATGGGCACCCATCAGCAGCACAGGGAGGTGACAATCCACATTGAAACCCACTTTATTCTAGAAGCTCTCCTCACAGCTCCCCTCCACACCCCGGGTCCTGTCCAGCCCGGAGCTTGGGCATCAGGAGGCCCTCGGGGGTCCTAGAGGGGATGCTGTGCCCTCGGGCACCCCCAGGAATGTGGTGCTGCAGCGGGGTCGCAGGGGGACCCTGGCCAGCAGCCTGGGCGCCCGGGGTCGCAGCCGCTCCTGGATGGCCCAGATGGGGGCCCCGGGACCCTCATCACCAAAAAGGCTCTCCGCGGTGGAGTCGGAGCCGTCCTCGGAGCTGGCCACCGGCCGCTTGCACAGCGGACAGGCGCGGTGGGGGGCCTGGGCAAGCCAGGGATCGATGCAGCCGCGGTGGTAGGCGTGCGAGCAGGGCAGGATCTTGAGCTCGTCGCCCTCCTCATACTGGTCCAGGCAGATGGCGCACAGGTCGCTGTGGCGCGTGTAGACCCTCACCTGCGCCTTCTGCCGCGTCTGCGTCTTCACCGATGACGCCCGGTGCCACCAGCCGCGCGCCCAGAGCCCCAGGCGCCGCAGGAGCAGGAAGGCGCCGACCGCCAAGGCCAGGCTGTGGCCCAGCGTCCAGGCGACGGCCAGCGAGGGGTGGCTGTGCGGGTCGGGGCAGGCCGGGGCTTTGGGCAGCAGCACCACGTGGGCCGGCTTGTCACAGCGCAGGATGACGCGCAGGTCCTGGGAGGCAGCCTCGCCCACGCCCACGGCGGGGATGGCGATCTGCCGCCGCAGGGCCTCAGAGACGGGCGCCGCGCGCACCAGCTCGGCGGATCCCACGTTGTGCACGATGGCCGCCTGGAAGCCGGCGCGCGGGGCGTGCAGGACCTTGAGGTTGGAGGTGCAGTTGTAGCGCCGGAGGAGGGCGATGGCATCCAGCGAGCCGTTGTTCCCCGGCCATGGGCTCTCGGTGGACTGGCACACGTTGGCTGGCCTGGCCTCAGTCAGGTAGCCCCGCATGCCTTGCAGGGACAGAGGGACCTCGAACAGCGCCGGCCCGTTCACGAAGTCCACTGGGCTGGAGTTGCCATCCAGCGTGGCCTGCACCACGACCTGCGACGGGGACAGCAGCAGCGACAGGGTCACGCAGGCCATGAGAGCCCCCCGGGCCGACCGTGTCTGCCAGCTGCTAGGTCCCCCAGGGACCCCAGACGGGCGGCCTCTGAGCATCATGGGGCCTCCCAGGGGACCTGTGGCCAGAGAGGGGATGAAAGTGACAGGTACTGGGTCTCAAAGGCAGTGGTACACCGACACCAGCACCAGCATGGCACTCGGAAGCCCAGTCTCGGGGCTGCTGTTCCTGGAGGCAGCGTCACTGCCAGACACCCTCAGGGTTCCAGATGCCTGGCTACTGTGACATCACCAGCCGCCTCTGTTCCCAGAGCCTCTCTGGGTGAAGCAGTATTCCTAACCCTCTAAGTGGGAACCCTGGCAACCTTTAAAGCCCTTCGGGCTGGGTGTGGCGGCTGTGGAGGCTGAGGCAAGAGGGTTGGGGTGAGTTCTAGGCCAGCCCGGGATCCATAGAGAAGCCCTGTCTCAAAAAGCCAAAAGAAAGAAAGAAAGAGCCAGGTGTGGCGGCATGCACCTGTAATCCCAGCGCTCAGGAGTCTGAGGCAGGAGGAATGTTATGAGTTCGAGACCAGCCTGGGCGAAAAAGTGAGTGGGAGACAGCAACCTGGCTCTGGGACCCAAGGAGGCCAGAGATGTACGGAGGCCTCTGTGACACAGATTCCCACTGGCACTGACACTGCTGTTCTACATCATTTCCCCAAGGCCACCAGCCATCCCCTTATCCCTGGGCCTGTCCCATGAGGCCCCCAGCTTGTTCAGGGACCTTCCCTTCCATGTGGTAATGACCGTGAGGTTTTTTTTTTTTTTTGGTACAGGGTCTACAGGGTCTCACTGTTTAGATTGGACTCGTAGTGATCCTCCTGTTTTCAGCCTCCCAAGTGCTGGGATTACAGGCACGTGCCACCACGCCCAGTCTCAATTGCAGTCTCAGTGCACCCCGGGGGCGGGGCCAGCATGGCATGCGAGTACAGTGATTGAGCCCCAGCCACTGCGCTCTCCCTAAGCACGTGCCTTAGTCCACTGAGCTATCTGGCCGGCCCAGGAGCTGGAGTTTTCATTTTTGCTTTCTTTTGGTACTGGGGATTGAACCCAGGGCCTTCACACTAAGCTCCATCCCCAATCCTTTATATTTATTTTCTATTTTGAGAGAAAGTCTCTGTAAGTCATTAAGTCATCCAGACTGGGCTTGAATTTAAGATCCTTTTGCCTCGGCCTCCCAGAATGAAGGGATAACAGGTGTGCATCACCATGTCTCATTTCATATCTAAATTCTCTTTGTCCCTCTGTCTCTGTCTCCGTCTGTCTGTCTGTCTGTCTGTCTGTCTGTCTATCTGTCTCTCTCTCTGCATCTCTATATCTGACTACAGTGTGTCTGCCTTGTTCCTCTCCAGGTCAACCATGTCCCCTCCTCAGGCTGCCTCTATCCCTGTCTTTCTCTGCCCATCTCTGTCTGTCCCACTGTCCCCACGTCCTACTACCTCTGTCTGTAATTCTGTCACTCCTTGTCTCTGGGGTTTTCTGAGGCTCTGTCCCCTGGCCTGCAGCTGTCCCATGGCTGATTGATCTGGACATCATGAAAGCCAGAGACACTGTCACCCTGAGTGCTGGGAGGACAGTCAGGCAGACCCGACCTCGCTCCTCCCCTCCTGGACGGCCAGCTGTAAACTGAGGCAGGCCTGGCCCAGACTCACAAGTGTTTCCTGGATACCTGGACATGGTCAGCTTCCTGTCACTATCACAAAATACCAGAGATGATCAAGGTATTGGGAGAGAAGTTTCCTTCCGGTTCCAGCTGTGATGCTTAAGTCTGAGGTGTCCCTGGTGCCCCAAGCCTCTGGCCCTTCTTCCCTCTTCTTTCCACCCCCTTTCTTTCTTTCTTTCTTTCTTTCTTTCTTTCTTTCTTTCTTTCTTTCTTCCTTCCTTCCTTCCTTCCTTCACAATAGAAGCTGCTCCCACAGGTGGGAAGCACATGATGTCGATCACAGCTCCCAGGCTAAGCCCCTGACTCTTGCTACATGACCCATCCCTGCCAGAAAGCCAGGCAGTGACATCTGTCTTATACAAAAGGTGCTCCCTTGAGGACCTGTCCCCACCCACGAGGGTCCCCTCCACAGGGCTCTTTGGTTGAGCAGCTTTTACATTGTTTTCTTTGTCTTTTTTTGAGACACAGGCCTCCTATGGAGCCCTGACTGGCCTGGAACCTGCGGTGCTCCTCCTGCCTCAGCCTCCCAAGTGCTGGGATGACAGACATGCGCCCCCACACCTGGCAGCCTACAGGGCTGTCCAACTCTCCCACTTGGCTTTTGTCATTGATGGTCCACAAGCAAATGGGGCAGAAGGAGGGGTCCTTCCTGGACTCCGTGTTCCATCCCTTGATCTGCTCGTCCATCGCTGCCTCAGAGGCTCCTGATTGCTGATGACTACAGCATGGGCTCCAGACAGCGAGGCCCGTGCAGTGGTGGCAGTGGTGCTGGGACAGGCATAAGGTGTGGCTGCTGGGGGGAGCCCCATTCCTGGGGCTTCCCCGGGCCCCGGGCCATGCCACCCCTCCACGCAGTTACCCCTCTTTGCTAAGCACCTCCTGTATACCTGAGCTGCCTTTCCTATCCCCAGCCTCCCAGTGCTCTGTGTCCTGCCAGGCCAACCTGGCCCCTGCCAGGCCCACGAGCGGTGGCAGCCCGTGAGGGAAGGAGAAGAGGTGAGGCGAAACTTTGGCTGGGCTGAACCGTGAAAGCTCACTGAGCTGCAGGCCGAGGTTAAGGAGAAATGGGCTACTTTCAGAGTCTCAAAGTAGCTCTCCCAAGATGGGTATTTGCTTGGAAAATACACACGTGTTTAGGCCAGGCATGGTGGCGCAGGCCTGTAATCCCAGCACCCAGGAAACAGGCAGGAAGATTGTTGTGAGTTTGAGAGCAGCCTGGGCTACAAAGTGAGCTCAAGGCCAGCCTGAGTTGCACAGGGAGACCTTTTCTCAAAAAGACAAACAAATTTTTTTTCATATGGTACAGTGGTGCACACAAAATCCCAGTGCTCTGGGAGGCTGAGGCAGGAGGATCACATGTTTAAGTACAGCCTGGGCAACTGAGTGACTTACTGAGACCCTGTCTCAGAATGAAAACAGGCTGGGTATGGAGCTCACCGCGAAGGCCTGGGGTCCAGGACCCAGTCCTGGAAAAGGGGGAGGAGGAGGCAAAGGCCACATTCTGCCCCACCCACTCTGACTGTGTAAAGAAATAATCAGGCTGCGCCCCAGAAGCTCAGGCGATAACCAGGTGACAGTTAAAAATCAGAAAGCATCTTTTGAGAAACAGAACTCAAACTGAGTGGCTCAGGGAGCAGCAGGAGCCCCTACAAGTGTCCTGGTTTGATCACAGCACTGTGGTTATGTAAGATTCACTTTAGGGGAGGCGGGGGGGGGGGGGATCCAGAAACTTGGTGCTATTTTTGCATTTTTTCTGTAAGCTTAAAATTATTTCAAAACAAAACATTTTTTTAAAAAAAATCAGAAATCCTTAAGGTACTAAAAAAAAATCCTTAGGCACTGAGGAAAAAATAAGTCTCAGAAAGAGGTAGTGGGTGATCCAGGGGACAGGGGGGACATCCTCTCTGCGTGGGGGACATCTAAACAGACAGCTGAAAGACGAGGCAGATTTGGCAGGAAGAGGCAGGGCAAGGCACAGCGGTGTGTGCAAAGGTCCCGGGCCACCGGGGGGGGGGGGGGGGGGGGGGGGGGGAGGAAGTGGGGAATACAGGGGACACGATCCTGCACCCTGCACGAGGGGCTTGGTGACTGCATGTGTCTGACTGCTTGTGTCACATGAAGCCTGGGTGCCACGCAGGCAGCTGGATGCTCCCGGCAGGGGCTGTGGAAGATTTCGGTCCCCGGGCGTCTTGGCCCCAGGCCCACCTGGCAAACGCTGGGCTGTGATGTCACCTGGCAGGCGGAAGCTCAGCCCCTGCCCTGTCCCCGGTCGCCGGGCTCGGAGCTCCTACCTGCTGAAATGCTAGCGAGTCTCGCCTCCGATGTGTGTGTGTGTGTGTGTGTGTGTGTTTAATTCGGGAATGAATTTAATTCTAATTCTGCCGACTTCAGGGATGGGAAACAGCTGTCTAACGAGTTAACATTGGGTTTTAAATAGCCGGCATCTGTTTGCCGTCTGTACCAGCACCCGCCTGCCGCGACCATCCAGTGGATCCCAGGGAGCTGCAAGATTTGGGGGTTCCTGACTGCGGCCCCGGAGACCACACAGAGCATGAGCCTGGGGAGTCCGAGACCACCCCCCAGCGGGCCACTTCCCTGGGAGCCCCTGCAACGCTGCGGGCGCTCCTGAGGGCCTGGTGCTCAGAAGGTGCTCAGAAATGGAGGCACACACCTCCCTCCCCAGCATGTGGGAGGCTGAGGCAGGAGGATTGCCGCACGTTGTGGCCAGCCTGGGCTACATAACGAGATCCTATCTCAAAAAATTAAAAAAATAAATTCAAAAAGAAGAGAACTGTTCAGCTCCCACACAGCAGGAGCGACAGAGGCCCTGCGGGAGGACCACGCGAGAGCGAGGAGCCCGGCGAGTAGCAGGAGCACGGCGAGTCTGTGCATCAGGCAGGCGACCCTGTGCCCCAAGGACGGCAAGGAACCCTTGCAGGTTTGGGATGGAGAAGCGGGGTCCAATCTGTAGGTAATCTACGGCTCCCATCCGGGCTTCTGTGCACGTTTATGGAGCGCCTACTGGATGCGGTACTGAGGATGCGCCCTTCCCGCGCCATCCATTTCCGGGCGAGGCAGCCGGCGGTTGAGGGTCTTGGGCTCACGTCACATAGCCTGTCCTCGGCTTCCCCTTCTGTACGCCCTGGCACGGCGTCGCTGGGGGGATATAAGGAGCCGACCGAGGCCCAGCGCCTTGGATGCACAGTCACAGTAGCTGAAAAGGATCTGGAGCAGGCCCTGAGGCCTGTGTGTGGAACGCCCATCCCGGCTTGGTGGTGTTGGGAGGAGGTGGGGCCTTTAAGGGGTGGGGTCTGTTGAGAGGAAACCCGTGACTGGGAACCAGTCTTTGGGTGGTTGGGCGTGGCCTCCAATGGGTTGGGGCGTGGCTCTGCGGTTGTTTGGGGCGCGGCTTCTGAGCATTGGGGTGTGGCTTGGGAGGCACTGTGTTCAGACCAGCCCAATTCAGCGTGACCCAAGCAGACCACCTTGGCATGAGGCTAAGCGGGAGAGATCAGGTCCAGCTGCACGACGAAAGGTCCTCAAAA